CTCAGACAAAGTGAAAAAAGAAAAAGAGAAAAAGGTAAGGGTTTAATTACATATTATTAACATGTTTATAACACATATATTTTTTCCTTAGTTATATATTACTTTCGTTCCAACAATAGTGTCATGTTTACGGAATCGTATTAGTTCAATTTGTGAGAGTCACGGTTTCTTAAAAATGACATTTTTTATATGACGGATGGAGTATATATTTTTTCTTATCCTATTGGATAAATATCAATTGATAAATTAAATATGAACTTAGTTATATATAATCCGCTATATTATCAAATCAGAATAAATTAAAATAAATTTAGTTTATACAAATTTGAACCAAATCAAGTTTGATGAGTTTGAAGTCTGAACCCGATTCTTCACATTAAATGCACTTGTCTCTTTTAATACTTCCACAAGATCCGTACCCCACTTCTCTTTCCTTTATCCTTTATCACTACAAGTTCTCCTTTTATTTTCTTTTTCCTTTTTTCTTTCTTGTTTTAGAAAAACCTTTTCATATTCATTCACTTTCTGCACAACTTTAATAGCATGTAACTATGTAGGGCGTTCAAATAATTTACTAATTCATCAAATGGATTCGATTCGATTCGTTTGATTCAGTTTAATTTTTTAATCTCATGATTTGGTAATGATTTTAAAAATTAACAATCCGCAATGAACGGTTCGATTAACAGATTGAATTCTGAAAAAACCAAACCGATTTGTTAACCGAACTAATTCAATCCATGAATTATATAATATATATAATTATATGTATACTGTAATATATTATTTCTATTTATTATTCATTATTTGTTTTTAAAATTCAGCCCTACATAAACGTATCTAAGTTTCTAACACTAGGTTTTTTAACATAAGGTCTGTGCTGCCTCCCACTCTCTGTCTCTTGACTCTCTCTTCCTCAGTTCCTCATCTTCAAATGACTGATTTGAGTAAAGCCCTTCATAATCTTTACCTACAGCACATATACATATATGCACATGATACTTACCTTGAGTTATCTTATACTCTTTGGATGTTACTAAACCATTAAATTGAAGTCCAAAAAGCTGGGTTGAGGCTGCCCACGTACTTTGAGTTTGGTTGTTAGTAGTTGACTGAGACATGATGCTGCTGTTGTTGTTGGTGCATGCTGAGTTTGGTTAGTGCCGAAGTGATGAAACGCCTGTCAATGGGGTGAAAACTGGGGATGCAAACATCTGCTGAAAGGATTTCCATTAGCAGTTGGGAGTTCCTTAGTTGCTATCTTAAGCCGCTGCACTACAATATAATCATATTGGGTTGTTTGAAAAAGCCTAATACATGAAAACCGAACCGAACCAATATGTTATTTTACGGATCGGTTTGGTTCGAATTGAGAGTCCCCACGGATCGGTTTGGTTTCAGATTTAGTCAATCCGTGAGAATCGGATTGATTTAAATTTTACCCAAAACCGAACCAAACCGATCTGTGATCAGCCCTATAATTATCACATGAAATAAATTGGGTTTGACTTGGCATTTGATGGTATACTTTAACAGTTTTGGTGTTACAAGCGGGACTTGTCCCACATCCGATTTAAATGTGAGTTGAAGTGTGTATAAATATATGGGAATGCAGTACTACTGAATAACTTAAACTTTTAGATAAATGGATAAGTGTCATCCCGTTACAGTTGGTATCAGAGCTTGACTCAATCCTTGATCGGTGTTATGCCAAGCGTCCCGCCTAGTGGGCGCCCAGGTCTGGACCACAGGTAGGCAGGGTGCCCCGACCACAACGAGAGCGTTGCGCATGTTCGAATAAAGGAGAATGTTACAAGTGTGACTTGTCTTGTATCGAATTTGGATGTGAGTTGAAGAGTGTATAAATGGGTAGGTATTTAGTACTACCCCAATAACTTAAACTTTTGGGTAAATGGGCAAGTGCCCACTCGTTACATTTAGACTCTATGAAAAAATTTGAATTAAAAATGGATCAAATTTGTACAATCTTGTAAAAGATTTATATCAGATTATGATATGAGTAAAGTATGAATTAATCTAATACTAGAATTTTTTATTTTTTTAGGGGCTTGAATTTTCGACCAGTTACTTTCTTAGGTGAAAAAGTATCACTTAGATTATAGTGGTAATTTAAAATATAAATTTCAACAAAGATGTGATTGAAAAAATAATTTAAAATTTATATCCTTTTGTACTATAAATATGAATAAAGACAATTCTATAAGAACCGTCCGTGCTATACAAGCCACAAGACCATGGTTTGGGCCCACCATGACATTGTGAGAGAGTCCGCATAAATCGATTCAACCTTTTTCTTTCTTTTCATGGTCTTACAATTAATTACAATAAATCTTTGTACGAGCTATGATTCGAAAGTAAATGAAACGAATGAATTTCTACTATTTTAAAAAGAAAGAAAAACCAATGTAAGTCATTTGAAAGCCATTTTATATAATTATATGTGTGTATATATGCATGTGTGAAAGATGTTTTGGTGACTTACGCAATTAAGAAGGAAAATGTGGTTACCATGGAGGCGGTGGCCATCGGCTAGAGGGGCGGGAATGGAGGCGTTGATCTTGCGCTTAAAGCAACACAAAAGGCCCATACACATATATAATGTGTCTCTCTGTGTGTTTACATACATGTAGATACACAGTTACACACACAAATATATTATATATATAATACATTACACATAACATGCACCAGGATAAAAGGAGAGGGAATGGGGGGATGTTTTGAGTTTTATTACGTCACGTTAACGGTCGTCCACCACATATTTGAATTTAACTTACTTTTGAAATTCTCCTATCTCAAGCAACCATGTGCATATATAATTATTATATTTAATGGCCGTACGTGTGCTCATTCATATATTGATGTCTTTTTGAATTTATTAGCTAGGACTTTATTGGAGTTGGAAGCAAAGAGAAAAGAAATGTGATATCATATTTGATATAAAATTTAGGTGATTTAAAAAATAAAAAAAAAATCGAGAGAGAAAATGGTGAGTTTCATTGTAATTTTTTTTTTATTGTTGCGTGCGTGAAAAGAAACAGGCAAAAAAAAAACTCCTTCTCATATCATAACACCCCCTTTTCGTGAAGATGTATCATTACTAATACAAACACTTACATCCATGCATTTATGGAGGCTCAAATACCCGGTGTTTTCTTTGGAGGCTCGAATATCCGATCTCTTCTTTGGAGGAAGAAAGAGGGCTTATACGGGTTATTGAGAAGGATTTTAATTAATACTATATATATTCTATTTTTTTTTCCATTCTTATTATATTGTAACTAGTGCTATTCTATTATTAAAACGACTTCAAATTCTGAAGTGAGAGGTTTAGGGTTGGACGAGTTAGTGCGTGTATTATTTGCTATGATAATATATATATATACATATATATATATATACACACACAGTAAAAACTAGTGTTACTCTTTCTTTTCTTTTCAATTTTGGTAATCCAAAATAACAAATTTTATAGTGCATGTATTACCGTAAGGGTCTGTTGGTTTAGACGAAAGCTAATATGAAGATTTTGCAAGAAAATAATGTAAAATTACTATTTTATAGTTTGAATAGCATGTAACTTACCATAAAAGAAAGGGTAATATTGTAAGTTCACAAAACTTTCTTAAGAAATCAAAATTTTCTTCGTTTTTCGAAAGAAAATTTTATGTAAAAATTAGGTGGTTATGTAAAGTGATTTTTCTCAAATTTTTTCTTTTCATGCTAATCACACTCCAAAATGTTCAACAAAAAAAAAAAAATTCATTTCCTTTATTTTCGCTTTTTCTATCTAACCAAACAATACCTAAAGAATTTAAATTTTCAAAAAGATTTAGTTCATGCAGTATCCAATAAATTTTATTAATTATCGTGAAAGTAATTCGAATTATCCTTCAAAAATGAAAAAAAGTTGTTACAATTTTTTTTTAATTAATAAAATAGATCGTATCCACTATCCATCAATCAATCAAAATTAAAGAAAAGGAAAGAATAAAGCAATATATATATATATATATATATATATATATATATTTTTTTTTTTTTCCCCTACTTGAGCAGTTTATATTTTCTTAATTTAAGCATTATAAATAAATAAATAAATGGTTGGAGAATATGGAAAAAGAAAAGAAAATTAAAGCCACATATAAAATCAAGGGAAAATTACATATAAATGGAGTCAAAGTTCCATATTTACTTAGAGGCTGAGTCAAATTTCCATATTTCTCTAAAATGGATTGCTGAGGTGGCACATGGTTTTTTACTGTTTAGAAATTGTGGTGCCTAAAATACCCTTCCGCGAAGGTACTACTTTTTCTTCGAAGGTACTACTTTTTTGAACTGAAGGTACTACTTTTTGGTGTCCAGGTACCATGTTTTTTAAACACCCGCGAAGGTACTACTTTTTCTTCGAAGGTACTACTTTTTTGAACTGAAGGTACTACTTTTTTGAACTGAAGGTACTACTTTTTTGTTAGGGAAGGGCATTTTAGGCACCACAATTTTCTAAACAGTAAAAAACCATGTGCCACCTCAGCAATCCATTTTAAAGAAATATGGAACTTTGACTCAGTTTCTAAGTAAATATGAAACTTTAACTCCATTTATATGTAATTTTCCCTAAAATCAAATACTCGTATTTCTCTTTCCCTATTTTCGTGGTATAGCCAAACAAGACAAAAGTCTTTTCTGTTACACTCATGACTACTAAATCTAGAAACCAAACAAAACACAAAGATAATTGGGAGGACCACCAAGGAGAAAAACAATGAACACTCGTAAATGCAATTTCATTTCCAAAGCAAGGACATTTCAGTAATTAACACCTAGAATGAAAATTGAGTACAAGCAACCTACCTCCCAATTTCGGCGCGACTTTCTTACTTTTGGCTTTTACTATCCAAAACATGCATTCAGATCCCACTCTATAAATACCCTCTCAAACCGCTCCAACTCCTCACCATCAACTCCTCTAACTCCTCTTCTCTCTCTACATTCGTTTAATTTCTCTCTCTATACATACATATATCTATATGTCTCTCCTTCATATGAAAATGTTGCACCCCATGACTTCTTTTGTTGTACTTGTAGCACTTTTCATTTTCTTAACCCAATCATCAGCAAATGCAATGACATACAATGTGATGAGTTTAGGAGCCAAATCTGATGGCAAGACTGACTCAACCAAGGCCTTCTTGAGTGCGTGGGCTTCAGCTTGTGGCTCGGCCAGCCCGGCTACGATCTACGTGCCGCCAGGGCGGTTCTTGCTTGGTAGTGCCCGGTTCACCGGACCATGCAAGAATGGCGCCATCTTGATACGTATCGACGGGACCCTCGTGGCGCCGTCGGACTACCGGGTGATTGGGAGCGCCGGTAACTGGCTGTTTTTCGAGCGAGTCAGTGGCGTGGCCATCTATGGTGGAACCCTTGATGGCCAAGGGACTGGTTTGTGGTCTTGTAAGGCCTCCGGCAATGGCTGTCCTAGCGGAGCTACGGTATGTTGAACTGACAAAAATGGCCTTTTTGTTAGTGTTTGTTTATATATAAATATATATCTATACGCAATTAATATATAGTACGTGGTTCAATAATTTCTTAGGTCAAACCATGGTGCCCAATAATCATAGGCTTGATTTAATTCTTCTTCATATCTATATACATATAGACACAAATACATATAAAAATATACTGTAATATATATATATATATATAATTGTGGTTTTTATTTTGTGTGCAGACACTGGGATTTACCAATTCGAACAACATAGAGCTGAGTGGATTAACTTCACTAAACAGTCAAATGTTCCACATTGTCATTAATGGCTGCCGCAATGTGATGATGCAAGGAGTGAAAGTCTCGGCCGCCGGAAACAGCCCCAACACCGACGGCATCCACGTGCAGTTATCATCTGCTGTCACTATCATGAACTCTAGGATTGCTACAGGCGATGACTGCGTCTCAATTGGCCCCGGCACCTCCAATTTGTGGATTGAAAACGTCGCCTGTGGCCCTGGTCATGGAATCAGGTAGATATATATACACACACACATAAACATGTATTTATTATATATAAAGATCATTATTTGGCGTAAATGTAAAAGTTTGAACTGAATACGGAAAGTTGGCTGAAGTTGCATACTGACCCTATTTGGGGTCTGAATACCAAGTAAATATTGAGTGCATTGAGCATACCAAATCATTAGTATGTTCGGCCAATAAAAATCAATATAACAACTAATTGAGAGTTATTTTCAAAAGAGTAATATGTGTTCGTGTTTGAGTCAGTAAGGTATAGATTGTATGTATAAATATTGTGCTAATATAAATGTGGATTTGGGTGTTTGGTGCAGCATTGGGAGTTTGGGCAAGGATTCTCAAGAGCCTGGTGTGCAGAATGTGACAGTGAAAACCGTTACTTTTACCGGTACTGAGAATGGTGTGAGGATAAAGACATGGGGTAGGCCAAGCACTGGATTTGTTAAAGGGGTTCTTTTCCAGCATGCCACTATGGTAAATGTCCAAAATCCCGTCATTATCACCCAGAATTACTGCCCCGACAACAAGAACTGCCCCGGCCAGGTAACTTTTTTGAAGGGCATTTTTGGAAATTAAAATAATATTCAGTCACATCAATGGTTTTTTTTTTTTTTTTTTTTTTTTTTTTTTTTTTTTTTTATCATGTTGAAGCCAAAAAAATAAAAAAAAAAAGAAAAAAAGAAAAAGAAAAGAAGAGAAGATAACTTGGGCCTTACATGGCCATTCTGTTTGGGACATTCCTTTTGAGTACAAAATTACAAATGGTCTTTTGGGCCTTATAGTGCCAATCTAATTGGGCCTTCTGGTTAAATTCAGCCCATTAGTATAAATTTATACTCATGTAGAAAAATAACGTACTTGTATAAGCTTATGTCTTCTTGAAAAATAATTAGTTGTCTCTTTGGCTCTTAATTTTCATTTCTTAGGTCTCTGGCGTGAAGATTAGTGACGTGACATATCAAGACATTCATGGAACATCGGCGACTGAAGTTGCCGTGAAATTCGACTGTAGTAAGATGTATCCATGTAATGGGATAAGATTGGAAGATGTGAAGCTCACCTTCAAGAATCAACCGGCTGAGTCGTCGTGTGCTAATGCCGGTGGAACAACTTCTGGTTTGATTGTGCCAAAGAGCTGCTTGTAGTGGAAAAAGAGAAACTAAGATTCACTACTAAATATATACGTTAAAAAGAAGACGAGTGAAGTAAAAAAAAACATAAATCTTGGGCCTTTTGGTTCTAAATATGTACTAGTAGTTACTTGAGCCTGTGGCAGTAAGGCCTGTTGGGCTTAGCCTGGCCTTGTAAGCACTGTAATCCAAGACCCTTATTGGGTGTTATTTCCACTAATTATTATAAAAATATGTGCTTTTAAGCCTTTTATTGAAGGATTTATTATTATTTTTTATTGTCAGGAGATACATTTGCACAATTATTTCAATTTTTTTTTACTCTTTGGAGATTTGAACCTTGCCTTTCTCTTTTGAAAGGTAAAAAAGTACCGTTAGACTATAATACTTTTGATCTTTTATTTAATGAGTAGAAGTACTGCAATCTTCTTAATTCATGGAGTAAATTTATGAGTTCAAGTTAGCCTTCTCATGAAAATGTATCAATCTTGTGATAGTGTGATAATGTTACTCTAAAATTTAATCACATTTATGTGTCTTTTCATGTTTTTCAGCTTTCAGATAAAATCCAAAGATTGATGCAATGTTAAATAAATATATTTTATAATTTATTATTATTAATATTTTACAAGGTAAGAAGTGTTAAATGATAGATTAGTAAATTTTTTTTATTATTTTAACTAAGCAAAGGAACAAGACGGAACAAACAACAAAATCAAACGGCAAACAACCAAAGCTCCAAAGTCATGCAGGCCTGAAAGGAAGGTCTCGATCAATTGCTTGAGGAGCCAACTAAGCCAAACGTCCCACACCAAATCAGGAGCAATATATAGATATAATATTACAATATATTAAATAGAAATATATAAGCATTTTGTACAAAATTAGGGAGGCCAATTGAAATTTGTAATTAATATTAGGGACAATATTTATAGTAAGAACTATCATTTCATTCAACTTCATGCACATATCCACAAAAGTTTAATATCAAGCTTGATTGGCCTCATATGTAGCACGAACACAAACATGTTACGATACGAATGCGCCAGTATGTCATATTTTTAAAAATTAGGACACGGGTACGGTGAACACGGCTACATATAAATATAAATATTTATTTTTATACATCTATTCAATAATAGTATTATAAAATTTTAATTCATTTATAGTTTCTATACTAAGAGTTACTCTATAATGAATTAAAAAATGAAATTATGTCATTATTGTAATGATTTTTATATCATATATATGATTATTTCATTACTTTGTCATGATAGTATTCACATTATTTTCAAGCTACTGGTTATACTGTGTTAGAAATGTCTGGAAAGTGTTGGCAAAGTGTCCAGAAAGTGTCGGCGAATTGTCCAAAATAATAAAATTAATTTTTATTTATGGACACGTATAGGAGTGGCCACAGATTGGATCGCATTATGCATCAATCCTAATCCGATCTGCGACCAATGGATTAGACAAATCTTAATCCACCACCGATCCGTTATTTCATGGATCGGATCAGATCAGATCAGTGTAATAACAGTATATATGATATAAACTAATATCATTAACTAATATATTCTTCAAATAAATATATAAAAATTTTACGGATCAGATTTTTAACAGTCCAATTTATAATCCGATCCGTGAGTTATGGATTCAATTTTTTTTTAATCTTCTACCGATCCGCACGGATCGAATATGATTCACGGATTTATAGATTATTTGCCCATCCCTAGACACGTATATTAAGTATCGGACACGTATTTGAAGAGAGTCGGTATTCAACACGGGTACAACTCCTTCGTTAAAATCTCCGTGCTTCCTAAAACAAAAATAAAAACATTATACGGGTTTATCTAATATAGGTTATTGGAGGTGGACAGCTTTGATGTGCAAGTACTCCCAATTACCTCACCATCATGGACAGCTCATGATCACATTGTTGTTATGACCCAAAAATTGCAAAATGATGCCCAAGACTCCCAACAGCCCACATTAACAAACGGGTAATACTTGAAAAGAGTTGGATAGTACAGAGAAACATGAACACAAATATAAATAGTGGTCTATGTTCCATGAACAACCTTAAAAGTCATTGAAAGTATCATCTTTGACACTTCTTGTTCTTGTCCACATTTGAAAGTGATAATCGAAGACTCTAATCTCTGAAGCAGATATAGTTGAAAAAAAAAGAAAAAATTGTTCAAAGTTGTTAGTTATATATTCATTGTTAGTTATAAATGGAATAAGCTCCCCCAAATTCATGCGGTGAAGTTAGGTTAGTGCAAATTAATCAAAGTTGCTACAGTGGTGTATGTTGAACACTGTTTACTGTGATTAACTTTTCAAAATACAATTGACTTTGAGGTTATAAGGAACTTGCCTTATTCCCTACCTAATTCTTTCTTTTGCATCGACATGGCTTAATCCATTGACCGAGCACGTTATAGTCTGTTAGTGTATCTTCTAATTCTTAAAGCTAAATCTTACATAACCTAACTTGTTCCAAAAAAAAAAAAAAAAAAAGAAGTTTGGAAGATTGTTAAAAAAAAAAAAAATTGGTATTTACACCATGTTGGTTTTTATTTATTTATTATTATTATTATTATTTTCTTGGACCAATAGTTCCACTGCAAGGGTAAAAATAAATGGAATTTTTTTTTTTACCCTTTCGAATTATGCCACTTTTTTAACATAGGAGGAGTACTGCAATATATACTTAGCAAACGTGTTTTTTGCCATAGATTGAGATAAAAAAGAAAAGAAAAGTGTACATGTCCAGCTTATGCCGTCACATATATTGTCATCCTCTTGAGTTGAGATCAATACTAGATATTCTGCACATATATAATATATATATATATATATATATATATATATATATTTATTTATTTATTTATATTTGAGTAATACTTTGGTTGGCATTCAAGATTTTTACTACTAATAAGTAATGTCTTCAAAATATTTTGGGTTTTATCTGTGTTTATAACTAATACTGGTATATGACATAGTGTAAGTATATAACTATATATATATTGCATCAGTTCTAACTTCTGAGGGTTAAAAATATGATATGCATAATTGATATATACAGATGACTGCTTACATTATTTAATTCGATCATGACTCGAAAAGTTGGTCTTTGGATATGATCATGAGCAGAATCGTATGTGTGTGTGTATATATATACACATATTCGTTTGGAGCTCAAAAAATGCATGAAACAATATATATAAATGTATATATTGGTTTTGGAGGTCAAAATAAACCACACGGTAGCTGTATAAACAAAAACAGCCTGAAACAAGGCCTGAAACAGGGTAGCGCGCATTCATGAATAATGTAAACTTCAAGTCCTTTAACATAAAAAGTGGCTTCTAATTTGTGTATCAAAGACATGGAATGGAATCAAGATATATATATATATATATATATATATATATATATATATATATATAAATTAAATAGTTCCAGGCAAGAATTTGTTGTTGACAAAAAGACCATACTTCTCTGTTTATATAAGAGAGATCATCATGTTTTTGATTTGTAGTTCAATTCCCCTCAAATGTAAGTATAACTCTCTCTCTCTGCCTATATATATATATATATATATTCTAGATGTGTAACATTCTCTCTCAGATGTATGTATATTTTCTCCAAATGCATGCATCTTCTTTTCAAACTTACTGATAACGAACAATACTCACCAACAATGGAACTTACCATTTGTGCAAGACCAACATGCCCCTTTTACTAATTTAGGTCATATGTCGTCCAGTGCATTTAAATTAGCAATGCAATAATTTTAAATCAACAATGTAACAACTTTAAGTTGTTAATACAATAATTTTAAATCTACAACACAATAACCACGTAAATACATTGAATTCTCAATTTAATGATATTGCAAACAATACAATATAATATGTAGCATGAGTATTGTATATATAATATAACGTGTTGTATTGTAAGTAATATAATGTGTTGAACTGCTGATTTAATAGTGCACATGACGGACATGCAGAACCGATAATGAACAGGAGAGAATCCAAATCCGCCTTTCACATATATAAAAACTATCAATGTGTATATATATATATATATATTTATGTTTGTGTGTGAAGATGCATGATTCAAGGGTTAGAACCTAAGTCCTAGCTAAAATAGTGATTCACATGGTCTTTCCTATTTTTTTTCTTCATTTCATCTCCTAATTAAGCAAGTGATCATAAATAAATTAACTAAATACCAATCATTGAACTTGCTATATATATATATATATATATGTTGCAGCTTAATTAACCACTATGGTCCAACTATCCTAAACTACAGTGACCTAGCTACTTTTGATTTATATTAATTTTCCATCACCTTTTCAAGGTTAACATTGTCACGTTAACGATCAAATGCATGAACTTAATTGGCAACATATATATCTAAAGGTGAAAATCCACTGTTCACCTTGTGGATAGTGGATCTCCCTCAACCTTCGGATTGTTGATTCTCATGGCATTCTAAGCAAAGTTACAGATTAACCCCCCAAAATCGTGCCTTGAAATCATGGGAATCAATATAAATATACACACAGACACAAATATTATACATAAATCTGTATAAGAAAGAAGCTCCCCATTGGTCATGATGAAATGCTCATCCACAGTTGAGGATGCTACTTATTGGGTGAACATTGCATTCTTCGAATTTGAAGAAACAAAAGCAAATCACTTTTTGCCACAAAATTCTACTACTATGACATACATATATATATATATATATATATATAACAAGACAAAATGACCTTATCTATTGAATTTTTTTTTACCTAATTACCTGTGGGAATTTCAACAGCATGATTTCCGGAGGGAATAACCCAATTGCAAATCTACACAATCACATATCCAAACTCATCCAAGATGTCCTATTTGGCTGTTCCTTGTTGAAGTCAGATTGGTTTCACTTGGACTTGATATGTTGATATTTCAACCTGAACCCAATCCTAATTAAGTTCGTATTGAAATTTCTTAATCTAGATCCAAACATAATTGTAAAAATAATTGTACAATTTTGTAAAAAATAAGGCACAACACGGGTTGAGTTAGAATTGCCTAACCAAATTTACACCCGAACTTATATTGTCTAACGATACTTTATCACATTTTAAAAGTAAAATAATGCATGTCTTTTTCTTACCATGGGAAAAATGAAACTAAAAATACCTATATTGTCAAAAGAATCTTCAAATGATTACTATTTTTTTCTTTAACAAGAAAA